TGTGTGCCCGGGAGTGTTTGGCAGGAGTATGCGCGGCGCGTCAAAGGTTCCCTCTGGGAGGCGGTTAGCTGGGGCCCGCGTCGCCGCCCGCCTCCATTCCGACCGCGATGCGGGCAATGCGAGAGGCGATACTGTGCTCGAGCGGATCCCTTTAAAGGTGCGGCGCGGGCTTACCCGCTCACGCCCCGTGTGCCCTCCCTACCCCGCACTCCCTCCTCCTTCCACTTCGTCCCGGACCCGTCCCGAGGGGGCGGCCGCCCCCACCCGCCCGCCGCCCCCTTCACACGATGGCACTCCAACGACGCGGTGGCGGCGCGGCGGCAGAGCGGACCCGTTTAAACTTCAGTCCGCCGCGCGCGCGCCAAGTTCGCCAACCCCCCTAGTGCTTACCTTTGACCTTCTCGGAGCGGGCGGGCGCGCAGGGCAGCACGACCAGCAGCAGCAGCAGCAGGACGGGGCCGAGCAGCAAAAGCGGGCGCCACATGCTCGCATCGTCTGCGGCAAACAAAAGAAAACGACACCATGTACACAACGACAGACGTTTTAAACTATGATCAATGCGGTGTCAGGAATGAGCGATGTAAGAACCTAAAAAAATCACGACTCGTCGGAAAATACACTTGTCTTTAACCGATCATAAAGTACGGTTCCTGCGAGAATCTGGGCAGCCCACCTAGTAGTACACGCATGCACTGTAGGAAAAAAATTTGCAAGTTAATGAACTGCAATTCATTTTGTTTTGTTTCAGTGTCAGGAAAAGATGAAGGAAATGGATATATCACTGGTGATCGGACAGGAGGACCTAGGTCCAAAAAAGCTACTTTTATGTTTGAAGGTATTTCGGCCGAAACACTATATGTTGTAAAACTAGAACAAAAAGAAATCGATCGGCAATTTTTTTATTTTTTTTTGACTTACGCCCTCTGCTAGATCACCACTGAGACATGACACCACACGTTTCCTATGTCTTGCAAGAACACGACTAAATGACCCTATATTAAATTGTATAGTTAAATAAAGCTATAATCCCTCGACCGTGTGACCGCGTATCGTGACGGCTAAAGTTCCCGCCAGCGGCGGTGCGCGCAGGTAGCAGGAGCAAGAGCGTTATCAGATGAGCAAAGGCGTTGCTATCAGCGCGCGCGCAACGGCACAACCCCTCTGCTCTGCGATTATTCAAATCCCCGTCGGGAGCGCGCCGCGGGAGAATGAGCCGTGAGGGCGTGGCAGGGTGTGGGGGGCGCTATTTACCCCCACGCCCCCCACACTCTCCCCCCGTTGATCGCTGTATGCCGCTAGCCCCCCCCCCCCCCCCAAAAAAAAAAAAAAAAGTTGTGTGCGTCTATCTGTCTGTCGAGCAGACGGCAGACCCCGTACATGCCACAGAGACGCGAGCGCGCGCTTGTGTGTGTATGTCCTTTTTTTATGCCTATGCGTGCGTGTGTATGTGTGCGCGGCTGCGGAGCGCGGGGGACTACGTCGGAATGGATTCAGGGTTTGACCTCCGGCGACGGAACCTGATCCGGGCGGAGAGGAGAGTTTTGGGTGAAGGGGCGGGGCAGCAGCAGGAGAGAGTAGCGGGGTTGAAGAGGAGGAGGGGGAGTAGGTGGGGGGAGGGGCGCAAGGGGGCAACCATAACAATAAAACTGCGCGTGTCACGGGGCTGGCTATTTCTTCGCGGTCCATTACCCGACCGCCTCCCACCGCTTTGCCTTTCTCTTTCCCTCGCCCCTCCCTCCTCCACCTCTCTCCCTCTCTCTGGTTCAAACATCGCGCGCTTTTTGGCCCGGGCCAACACCCCCGCCTGCCGCCTGCCTCCCGTCCTCGTGCATCGTCGGAAACGCAGCCAAAGGGGTGGGTGGTCGGAGAGAGGTGAGGGGGTGGGGTCTCATTTTTAATGAAATAACCAAACCCAAACAGAGGGCAGCCTGATCTCCATTGGTTTGACCGGCGGTCCTGGCCCCGGGTGTATGCACGCTATCTGTGTACTCTATTTGCCAACCGCTCCGCTATGTACACCGCGTCCCAATACGGGCATGGCCAGAATAATAATTGGAAAAATTTAATGAAATGATGGTGCTGGGAGACGAACCGCAACCCGGCATCGTCGCCCACGCTGAAAAATAATAAGAATAATATTCAGTTTCGAGCTAATCAAATTAGCAGGGCAATTTTACACCGTTGCAAAAAGCAAAAAGCTGGGTGTAAAAAGATTTAGCTGAAGAAAAGTAGCATGAGCTACAACGGCCAATACATAGATTGGTGTGGGGCAGAAAAAAAATATAGTTCTGCTAAAGATAATTTTTTTTTCTGTGACCATAACGGTAAGGTTTCCGTTGGAATGCAAGCCTACACGACATGTCATACCACATGGTATAGCGTGCAGTTTCACCCTATGCCACCACCGCCGACGACGACGCGCGCTGGGTCGTCCTAGACGCGAAGCGCCTGTGAAGTCCCGGGTAGGCAACCAGCGCGCTTCTCTGTGCGCCTGATGCCTACCCGCCGGGCGCGCTCACTCAAGGCGCGGCGATTTCCAAACCAATAAGCTAACACAGATTTTGATGTTGAAGTTGTGTGCATTTTTTCTCCCCCCCCCCCTCCATTGTGGTGTCTAACTCGGTTAAACGTCAATTGGTGTTAAAACTCTCGACACTTCCGAAAAGTATAGCAGCTGCACACTTTATGGTTCCAATTGATAGCAGATAGAACTGTGTGTGTCCAAGTGTGCATAATTTTAACGTTTACAAAACGTCCAAAGTTTGCACGCCACGCAAGTGTGCACTTGCGTTAAACACCATATAATGTGAAAAATTATAAGTTGCACGCTTGGTGCGCAAATTGTGCACACTTGCTTTAGTGCACCGCTCTTTTTCTTTGTATTCTCTAACTTTCTCTCGGAAATGAGGCACGCTCGCGAGCATGTATGTGCGGTCTGTTTGACAGCTCTGTACAACCGTGCATCCGCCACATAACACGCAAAGCCAACTAACTCTGCCAAAATGCCTTCCGGCAAGAAAGAGAATGTGAATCGTAAAAAAAGGATGTCGTAGAAAGCGCACATCACACAAACGTTGCGTGCAAAAGGCTAATTGTGGAACACACGGATTCCCTCTGGTGTCCACGGTAATTCACATAAACACTTCCACATGCACTTTCATTTAACTCCAAATATACTCCTATAAGCTTCCTCGAAAGTGATACGCGTCGGGAATGTTCAAACCGCGGAAAAACGTATCGGACGAAAGCCTACAGCGAAATAATTATTGCAATTATTGTTTCATTTTTTATTTTTATTTTTATGTGCGTACACCTTAAAACCATCGTGTCAGCAGTGAGAGAAGAGAGCGGCGATACGTGTGAGTTCGTCATCCATGGCAGAGAGAGAGAGACAGACAGAGAGAGATGCGGGAAAGTACCC